TATAATAAATTGTACATTACCCATTGAAACGCTAGACTTTTCTTAACAATTAAACGAGTTTCAACGGCTATTAAAAACGCTTAATAGCCAAACAGCACATTTACACAAAAAATATAAGGACACAGGATATAATTTTTGTTCGACTTTTCCTGAGATTTTAAATCAAATTTTAAAAAAATACCGCACAGGTCATAATATCTGCATTTGAAAGCCTGATATTTCCCAGAAGGTAAGCTGAAACCACAAAGTGTTTAAATCTAATTTATAGTTTCACTTAAGCCTTTCAGAATGGTAAAATTCATTATAACCTGATGTAAGATACTTAAGTTAAGTGAAAAAATATGCACTAGCTCTGAAAATAACATAAAAAAAAATAAAATAAATTCTGCTTTCTTTCGACTTTTCCCGAGTTTTTAAAGTCGAAAATTCGAAAAAAAAAATACCGCAACAAATTGTGAAATTTGAATTTGAAAACTTAATATCTTCCAGGCGTTAAGCTGCAGAAAGTGTCTGGGTCCGATTTATAGGTGCAATTGCCAGCTTTTTAGAACTGCAAAGTTCTATGCAACCATATATAAGATACTTAAGTTATGTGAAAAATAGAAGCCATACCTCTGAAAAAAACCATGAAAAAAATACCAGATTTAAAAAATTCTTTAAAAAAAATTACACCATAAAAAAAAGTACTAAAAAAATTTGTAAGTCCCGAAATCTATCAGAAAAAGTCATTTTGGTTCACAGCCTAAAAAAAAGTTAAATTTTTGTTGAGTAGTGTAATCGATTAAGAAAAAAAAATGCAAAGAGACCGATACAAAGTTCAATTAACGGTAAATTTTTTATTTTGCTTCTTTTCAATGTTCTAATCGTACGCTTGCTACCGAAAACCTCATATTATTATAATTGCTTCGCATTAAATGCAATCAGGTGGCTGAAACTACATGTGTTACGCAAGTTTGGTGTAACAAATTTAAATTTAAAAAAAATTTGTGGGTACTATTAACCAAACTTTTTATTATGATTTTCAAAGTAGCGTACGTTTTCGACCGCAGGCAATGTTATTTTTTGTTATTTTACTTTTAATTGTTTAACAATCAAATAAATATTCGCAGATGGCTAAAGCAACTGAAAAACGTCACCGATATATCAATAAAATTAAAAGCGATCCACAGAAGTTAAAAGAATTTCCCGAAAAAGCAGCTGAGAGAATGCAAACTTTCTATTCTTGTTAGAAATGTTGTAACGAACCATGGTTCTAGCCATGGCTCGTCTCAAACGGCGAAGGGTCAGCGCATCCACGCTGGCGGGAGACAATAACCAAACTGATATACACCGAGCTAACGAACCATGGCTCTAGCCACGGTTCTCCACAAATAGCGGTGTGTCAGCACCCCGGAAATAGAATAGTCTTAAGCAACGCACGCAATTACTAAAATTAAGAACTCTCGATCAGCGAAAAACCACAGCACAAAATTCTCGGTCACCCACTTCTTGGCGATATTTCGCAACCACTCGGCCTCGAAACATCGACCCAAATTCAGATATCACCTTCGCGATGCTGAGGTAGCAAAACCCAATTCCCAACGGCAGCCCGCACCTACTGCGATGCAGCCTCAGCTAAAAACACTCTCATCAAAACACACTGACCCACTAAGAAATTGTCAACGAAGCACCAAGCTTCGACCTAATTACCACACCCTACAATTATTATTACCCAATAACCTTAAGTCAGCAAGAATTAATTATTTACGGGTCTCAGGTGCGATCGCCAGCTGCATAAAAGGGCCAAGATCGGCCGAAAGAGCAGGCAGTCCATCAGCCCGAACACAAGATACAGGCAGTCCATCAGCCCAAGCACAAGATACTGTACTACGCAGTCCCCCAGTCACACACCCAAGACACTGCACACGGCAGTCCCTCAGTCACACACCCAAGACACAGTACGACGCAGTCCCTCAGTCACACACCCAAGACACTGCACTAGGCAGTCCCTCAGCCCAAACACAAGACACTGCACCCCAGTCCAACGGCTCCAAGGCCAAGTAACAAGAGCCGCAAGTAATCCATCGTACACAAACCCACAAAGAATTAAGTAATAAAAATAATAAACCCCAGCAAAACCGACAACCACGATTTTCTTGAAGTATTCTTCGTCAGCAACAAACGCTCCCCCTGCGTCCTACCTCTCTTTCGACCGCTCCGAACCTAAAAGTCACCTGCGATCTACAAATTGTCTTGTAGTGGACCCTGGACAGACTGATGCTTACCTCAGCCTGAAATAGGACATCACAAGTGGCGCCCGAGCAGGGACTTTTTGGTGACTTTAAGGAGACTAACACCTTAATACGGAGCTTTGTGGAGTAAAGACCCACGGCCACTGAAAGAGACTAGGCTAGCAAGGATCAATAACCGTCAAGCACAAAACGCAAAATCCGGTCGCAAGCAGAAATACCACCAACAACACTGTTTGTAGGAGGGTGGATGGAGGCTCGCTGGAATGTTCCCAAAGACCGTATGTCCCAGTAAAGTAAGCGGGAGGTGCTTCGATGTATGGATATATGTATATTTGTATATGATGCGGCTAGGCTGGTTCGGGGGTGGAACGAGACTGCAATAGCGCAGTCGCTCCGTACGGGGGGTAGAAGGAGACTCCAAAACTATGTATTTTGGCAGCTTAATGCTAGCGCCAGTGCTGGGGAGTCGAGTGGATCGTGACTGAGCAGCGCGAGAGCGAAAGGCACGAGAGAGAGAGAGAGCGAGCCAACAGTCCGCTGTTAGCAACACCGTCAACAGACTGTTAACTCTGCTATGTTAACAGCGCTGCTGCCCTGAACATCCTCCCCCCCCTTGCAGGATTGCAATAAAGGCTGCGGATCTGGGCTGACGAAAGCGGTGTCCGAAATGGGATGAAGGAGCTGTAGACGGCGCTGAAGGTGGGCCGGGTCGACGTCGAGTGTGCTTGTTGCACATAGTCCATGTGCAGCAACGTGTGGTGTTTCCGGTTACACACCTTACACCGATCGCCGCTTCGGCAATCCTGGCCGGAGTGCTGGTGAGCCAGGCAATTGGTGCAGTAGCTGAAGTGGAGACAGCTTGGAGCCTCCTTTCGGAATCCAGGCGGAGAAAGCGGTGGCATTTCCGTAGCGGATGGATTTCCGAGCAGACTCGGCATTGGTAGGACTTAGTACCTCGGGAACGTCTGCTCTCCACGGTGCGATCGAAACGGGATCGAGAAGCCATGTCTGGATGTGGAAGGCTAGGGCGAAATGAAATATTCGAAGACGCATTAGGAGTTAGCTTGGAACGGATTACGGGCGCATTTTGGACATTGGAAGCCACTCTGGAAATTTGACTTGAAAAGGATGCAAGGATGATGGCTAGCCGTATTGGACACGGGACCAGTGAGCACCCAACCAAAAATGGTTTCTTGCCCGAGGAGAGAGCCACATATGTTGGTTTGTAAGCCGCTTAACATTACGGATGGAAGAATATCGGCTCCAATTAGGACATCGATTGGTGAGTTCTCGCAAAACGTAGGATCCGCCAATGGAAGGCTTGGCAAGTCTTTCAATAAACTTTGCGAGATCGGATGCAACGGAAGATTCTTTGCCAATTCCGGAATAACGTAGGCTGCGGCGTTTAATTGTAAACCCGGCTTAGTCGGGAGAGCGGATGGAAAACTGACAGAGATTATTGGACTGAGCGGATACTGTCTGATTGAGGCTCGAGATCTGTGTCTGGATGCGTTGGAATGGCAATTGAATCGTGTTGAAAAGGCGTTCCGTAATAAACGTTGCCTCGGAGCCCGAGTCGATCAGAGCGCGGGCGCGGAAGTTGGTTCCCAGGTGGCAAATATTAATGATTGCTGTGGCTAGAAGGACAGAACTTGTGCCGGAAGCGAAATACGTCTGATATTAGTCGGAGGTTCGGAAGACCTTGAATTTTGTGCGGCAGGTACTTGCCGGCTGACGTCTGGCCAAGCTGTTGAACTGAGTACGGATGTGGAATTGGACTCTCTGGCAACTGGATTGCTACGATGGAGAAGCGTGTGGTGCCGGCCCCCACAAGTGATGCAATTGTGGGTGCTTTGGCATTCTCGAAGTTGATGGCCTTTTGCGAAGCAGTTTAAACAAAGCTGCTTCTGCTTAATGCAGCTGGAACGAGCATCAACGGTCATTTGCAGGAAGTGAGGGCATAGTCGTATCGGGTGATTCTCTTCGGAACAGAGATCACATGCGATCTTGCTTGGATTAGCGCTGTTGTGGAACGAGTGCGCCGTCCTTGGAACAGGACTGCCTTGGGAACGGAGCGGATTGGACTGGCTTCGGGAGGATGGCGGATTCTGACTGGCCTTGGCGGGTGGCGGATTCGGAGCGCCTTGGGAAGTAGAGGGGTCGCTCTCGATAGCCTCGAGCGTCAGATATCGCTGGGTGAGGAAGTAGTCGATTTCCTTCCAGGGCGGCACCTCCTTTTTGTCCGTTACGGACGCTTCCCACAAAGCCCGGCTCAACTTCGGCAATTTGGAGGCACAGATAGTCACGAGGAGACTATCCCAATTGTCGGTGCAGACGTTGGAGTGAGCAAGGGCGGTTAGGACCCCTTGCATCGTGCTCTGGAGCTTTTTCAAAGCCCGACTGGTCTCGGAAACGACGCGAGGCAGAAAGAGGAGAATATTGATCTGGTTGGTCACCAGGAGCCGATTATTTTCATAACGGTTTCGGAGGGCCGACCATGCCGACTCGAACCCATCGTTTGTGAGTGGGGACGTCTCGACTATGGCCTTCGGATCGCCACTCGTCTTAGCGGCGAGATGATATAATTTCTCTACCGGAGACAGCCTCGAATTATTTATGTAGATTGCCGTAAATAAGTCTCGGAAAGTAGGCCAGCGGACGTAATCTCCTGTGAAGACCTCGATGTCGCAGGGGGGCAGTCGACAGCCATGCTGGTAGGTTTGAGGTGCAGACGGATGGACTGCGGTTTGGGCCAGCTGAGCGTTGAGGTCAGCTAGGCACTGTTCGAATGCCCCATAGCATTCGCCCGTACCCCTCTCGGATGTCAGCTTGGGTTTCTGGATCCTCGTCAGCCATCACCGCGGAGCAGGCCTTGTACTCGGCCTCGACGTCCATCCACATGCTGAGGATTTGGCCTCGGCGGACCTCGGACAGAGTGGCGGATGGTGCGGCGGTTATGCGCTCTGCCAGGTGGGACAGTCGGCCAATGGCAGCGAGCAATTTGGTCCGTGCGACAGAGGGTGCGGATGGAGTCATTGTGATGCAGTGGCGAGAGCGGACGGGACTACTGACGAAAGCGCCTTTTTGCGTCAGAACTGGAACCTTGAGGGTGACGGGAGACGGAAAGAGAATTGATTTGGTTCTTGCAGCAGGGCTACTACTGGCTGCTCTCGGAGTGAGGGGCGACTTGGTTTTCTGTGTCGGCGTAGTTCCGGAGGCGGAAGAGGTGCGTAGCCGTCTTGGAGAGGTCACAGACAAAAGCTTGTTGCTATCTTTGTGGCCTGTTGGCATATTACGAACTCACACACGCACCGAAAATCGGGTTCGGAAGTCTTGTAGGGACAGAAGACTGGTCTGAGTAGAATTCACACGGGTCGCGCCATGAAATAAATATTTGTTCTGAAATATAACTCACTTGCGGAAGGCTGACAGGAAAAAGGCCTCGAGCTAGCTGGAATGCAATAATCAGGTCGACTCGGATTGTTTGAAATCACCTTTAGGTGGGAGTTCCCAAACAAGGAGTGACCTTATATTGTGCCGAGCTGAGGAGAGGAACGATCACACTGGTGGCAATATTTCGGAAATATTGTTAGAGCGGTGCTCCTCCGTTTACCTCTTTGGCGCGGTCGTGAGCAGAACTGTTTTATTTACGGATGGAAGGCGAACGGAATGGTATTTATATCCTCGATATCTTGTTGGAATGGGCGATAGTTTACTCTGTATGTTGGTTTGGATCGAAAAAATACAGATAAATCTAGTAGCCGTATGCGTTACCGACAGTTGCAGTCAAGAATATAACTGCGGATTGGGCGGTGGAAAACTATCGGGAGAAATACCGAAGAAAAACAGAACACATTCAAAAAAGATGACGAAAACGTTTAAATTATAAATCGTGGATCGTTCAATTTATTTCTTGTAGTGTCCTTGTGTTTGCTTGGAAATTGTAAGACGAGAATAAGTTTTTTTTTTGTAATTTATTATATTTTCGGTCGAACGCAAGACTCGGTTACGATACCGATATTTTTGGATTGCGCCACCTCTGATGCACGGAACAAAAAAAACAACAACAAAGGACCGAAACACCAATTTGCCAATTGGCAGTGGAAATTGCCAAATAATTACTATAAGTGCGCCGTGCCTTGGTCGCGAGTAATTTATTTGGAAAGTGGAGGATGCTGGAGTTGGGGTAGCGATCGTGAAAAGTGGCTAGAGTGCACGAATTTTACGGAATCGCGAATTTTATATTAAAATTGGCACTTGCGCGGAGTATGTATGTAGTGTATGGAGCGCGGTATTTTTCTACGGGGAGTGGTATTTTTATGGTATGTGCGTTATGTGTATATGTATGTAAATAATTGGCGATATGGATATATATGTTGCCGCCAACTATGGAAATAAATATGTGTATATAGATGTCGGAATAAAAACACTTAATAATTGTTGGGGTGGGTTTTTATTCTGTTAGCACTTGGATGTGTATGTAGGTATGTTCGTCTATTTATTACGGAAGCCGCTCTTATGGGCTGGAATGTATGTACATATGCTCGGAATGCAATTGTATTTACTGAGGCTGGATTATGGGGATTTATTTTGTTTTAATTCAAAGTGTCGAAAGCGGATGCACAGACAGATGGAATTAGAGAACTACCGTAGCACTGGTAGTTGGAGTCGAAGTAACGAGAAACGCCGGAATTGCCGATAATATTGCGATGGCGAAAAGGAAAGCGACACAGAAACTGGATAGCACTGGATGAACAGATATGTATATAAGGATATATATACATAACAGATATGTATATAAGGATATATATACATAAGTCGCGGAACTCGGACTTGGCGGGGAATAAACAACTCGCACTCGGAATCGATTTGGGAAGACGAAATAGTACTTATCTTTGGAACGTAGCTATGTAATCCACCGATGCTTGAAGGACTCCTCCTTATGGGGAAGGCGAAGATCCGGCTCGAAGGACCAATGTTTGTAGGAGGGTGGATGGAGGCTCGCTGGAATGTTCCCAAAGACCGTATGTCCCAGTAAAGTAGGCGGTAGGTGCTTCGATGTATGGATATATGTATATTTGTATATGATGCGGCTAGGCTGGTTCGGGGGTGGAACGAGACTGCAATAGCGCAGTCGCTCCGTACGGGGGGTAGAAGGAGACTCCAAAACTATGTATTTTGGCAGCTTAATGCTAGCGCCAGTGCTGGGGAGTCAAGTGGATCGTGACTGAGCAGCGCGAGAGCGAAAGGCACGAGAGAGAGACAGAGCGAGCCAACAGTCCGCTGTTAGCAACACCGTCAACAGACTGTTAACTCTGCTATGTTAACAGCGCTGCTGCCCTGAACAAACACGTAAGTCAGTGCTACTAACCACAGAAACACACCATGGAAGCCCACGGAGCCGGTCAACCCGACGAATTTTGCCCGGAGGGACACCATACCAATCCAGGAGTCACCACCGGCTGGATCTACAAACTCCGGCGGGACGAGCTGGAAACCCTGGCCAAGGAATTCGGATTTGGCCACGAAGGAACAGTCGAGGAACGAAGAAAGAGATTCGCCACATTAGTCGCCGGAACACTCTCGCAGGACGCCTGGGTTCGACTAGGAGACCTTGAACGGCAATACTTCAAACCAGCAGGACGCTCCAGGTCACCCATCCCCACCACTCCTAGGACATCTGACCAGCGGAAAACCGACCCAAAAGTCGGGTTACAAGTCCCCACCGCGTCCGAATACACACCTGGCCCACCACGCATCGTAACGCCAGCCGATTTGCCCAGACCTCCAGTTACGGAGACCAGCCGCTCGCCCACACATAGGATCGTGCCAGCCATGGACTCTTCCATAGATGGACGCCACCACAGCCACACCGCCCACATCGCGGAACAGATTCGGAAATGGGGAATCAGGTTCGACGGACAGGACGACCCACTTACATTTCTGGAACTACTCGAAGAACGTGCGCTCTCATATGGGGTGGACACAAATCAGCTACCTCGGGCCATGACAGAGCTTCTCACCGATCGGGCCAGTCGCTGGTACCGCACCAGCCAACTACAAGGCAGCTCATGGGCATATTTCCGCCAAGAATTCTTGACTTTCTTCTTGCCGCCACGGTTTTTTGAACAATTGGAAGACCAGATCCGAGCCCGCAAGCAAGCGGTAGGAGAATTGTTCAAGGATTACCTCATCGAGATACGTCTACTCATGCACCACGCCAGGTACGACGCAGCCAAGGAACTGAACAGGATCTACGATAACGCCCTGCCAGCATACCAGATGTACGTGCGGCGACACGAACTACAAAGCTTAGCACAGCTCACAATGTTGGCCACCGAGTTCGAGAGCATCCAAGAGCGGACCATCCCAACCACTTTCGCACCCCGCGTAACACTCCAAGATACGCAAGGCCGGCTTCAGAGCCGAGGAATTGCGACTCGCACCAGACGCCATTTCTGAGTCCCCATTGGGAATCGACAGACACACCAGGGAGACCACCAGCTCATCCAAACAGTACGGCGAATCCCGAAGTAGCCCATCACATGATCACGACCCCCATCATCAACCCACGCGCAGCCGTCGCCGGTGTGCTGAAGCGGGGCATGCGGCATACGACTGCCATAATCCCTCCATCCTATTCTGCTGGGAATGTGGCAAATGCGGCACACGGACCGTAAATTGCTGCCGCCAAAACACGTCGGGAAACGACATGCGTCCCCCAACTGACACGGGATCAGCCGGGAACGACGCCTCCTCCAACCCGCGACTTAATAACTCTCTACACGTAAGCAACGGCCGGATAGTTGCGATGGTGACCATAGGAGGACACGCAACGGAAGCCACAATCGACACCGGGGAATCCAGAAGCTTCATCAGCGCAAACCTCGCCCGACAACTAGACAACAACACCAACCTGCAAGATGCATGCGTCCGCATACGCCTGGCCGATGGCACGGTCAGAGAGATCTCACAAGTGCTACTGGCGCACATCAAGCTGGATCAAAGAGAGGTTCAAATCCCGCTCCTGGTCCTGCCAAACATGTTGGGACAAGTTATTGTTGGCATGGACTTCCTAGGTGCCACCGAAACGACGATCCAATGCGGTTCCACGCTGCTACAGCTACGAGACCGTCACACCATGACCACTGAACCCGTGCTTACTACCATCCACGTACAAGACGCCGAACCCTGATACCAGAAACCCCAACAAATCGCAACGAACCTACGTCCACGACCTACCACAACGCACACGGCACCCAATAACGCAACGCAGCACTTGACACCCAAACCAATCGCAACGAATACGAAACGCCGGCCCACAACGGAGAACACGAATCAAAGGCCAACACAAGCCAACCACAACCAAGCAATCGGGAAAACGAGTCCCACGGTCACTACGGAGCAACCGCGTCCTAGGCCAACCACAGGGGACACACACCCCAAACAAACCACAAGGATCTCACACACGAGACAAACACACTTGAACCCGGCGCTCGACACAGGAAGCCCAGGTCCAAGACAAGCAACAGAGCAAGCACGCAGAGAAACCACATCGGAAGCAGGGAACGCACGGACACCCTCAAAACCGACCGCCAGCAGCGAAAAAGGACAACGGCCACCACCATCCGACAGCCCAGCCACACGGGAAACAGCCACGCTAACCCCACGCTGGACGGGGCCCATAATCGAACTGATCTCCACAGAGCCCCTCAACGAGGGCCCGGAAACCAGCACGATGCCCCCACGATGCCCAGACAGCCGTCCTGTCCGACCCACGGCCGACGCCACACCGATCCTCGCCAACACAATGGAGTACCTTCCGCGTACTGACATGATTCCTAGCGCCATGCAGCGAGCCATGCCTAGAGCCTTGTCCGAGATCTTCGTCGCCCACACGAGTCGTTGCTGCGATACCAGAGGGGTCATCGCGACGCACCTGTTCACGTACCAGTCTGGCTGTAGTATAACACGAGTACTACACCCGGCGTACCAAAACATCATACCCATGGTCGACACCACACCCATCGTTGTCCACATAAGCGACTACCAACGGAGGATCGAAACGCCCAGCGCCTTCGACACAACCCGCTCACCCGAAGACCCCAGCCAGCCATTTGACTCCGAAGCCGCCTATGCAACCGGACATGAGCCCGAACCAGTCCCGGAGCCGTGGCCGCCAGACTTGGCCCCGCAGATCCAAGCATTTACGGATCCTTGGCCACCCGACATAGCACCGCCGATTCAAGAATGCCTGGACAAGGAACTACGGAAGAAAACCGCCGAGAAAACCATCGTCATATGGGATAATCGACCCACCAAGCAGACACCAACTACAAAGCACCCAGAACCGAAGAAAAACTTCCACGATCACAGCAGCAGTAGAAAATATCACGTTACCGACGCCACGCTAAAGTGACGCCCACAAGCCCAAGGACAGGATAACCCGGTAAAAAGGCGAACCTCAGCACCCGTCAAGCGACGCCACAAACCTCTCCATCACCCACCCGGAAGAAGGGGGGGGGGTGTAACGAGCCATGGTTCTAGCCATGGCTCGTCACAAACGGCGAAGGGTCAGCGCATCCACGCTGGCGGGAGACAATAACCAAACTGATATACACCGAGCTAACGAACCATGGCTCTAGCCACGGTTCTCCACAAATAGCGGTGTGTCAGCACCCCGGAAATAGAATAGTCTTAAGCAACGCACGCAATTACTAAAATTAAGAACTCTCGATCAGCGAAAACCACAGCACAAAATTCTCGGTCACCCACTTCTTGGCGATATTTCGCAACCACTCGACCTCGAAACATCGACCCAAATTCAGATATCACCTTCGCGATGCTGAGGTAGCAAAAACCCAATTCCCAACGGCAGCCCGCACCTACTGCGATGCAGCCTCAGCTAAAAACACTCTCATCAAAACACACTGACCCACTAAGAAATTGTCAACGAAGCACCAAGCTTCGACCTAATTACCACCCCTACAATTATTATTACCCAATAACCTTAAGTCAGCAAGAATTAATTATTTCCGGGTCTCAGGTGCGATCGCCAGCTGCATAAAAGCGCCAAGATCGGCAAAAAGTAGGCAGTCCATCAGCCCGAACACAAGATACACGCAGTCCACCAGCGCACCATTCAACCACGAGTTGAAGCAGCAGAATTTAAGTGAATGAGGAAAGTGAATGAAAAGAAACCAGAATACTAAAAAAAAAAACCAAGAACAATCCAACAAAACCGTCGCCTCATCATTTCTCGCTGCCTACTACATTCTTTTACGAGCCAGCCCGACACCTGAAGTCACCTACAAACTACAAGTTGTCTTGTAGCGGACCCTGGACAGAATGATGCTTACCTCAGCCTGAAATAGGACCTCACAAGGACGGCCGGATAGTGGCGCACTTGTGATGTCCTATTTCAGGCTGAGGTAAGCATCAGTCTGTCCAGGGTCCACTACAAGACAATTTGTAGATCGCAGGTGACTTTTAGGTTGGGAGCGGTCGAAGAGAGGTAGGACGCAGGGGAGCGTTTGTTGCTGACGAAGAATACTTCAAGAAAATCGTGGTTGTCGGTTTTGCTGGGGTTTATTATTTTTATTACTTAATTCTTTGTGGGTTTGTGTACGATGGATTACTTGCGGCTCTTGTTACTTGGCCTTGGAGCCGTTGGACTGGGGTGCAGTGTCTTGTGTTTGGGCTGAGGGACTGCCTAGTGCAGTGTCTTGGGTGTGTGACTGAGGGACTGCGTCGTACTGTGTCTTGGGTGTGTGACTGAGCGACTGCCGTGTGCAGTGTCTTGGGTGTGTGACTGAGGGACTGCGTAGTACAGTGTCTTGTGCTTGGGCTGATGGACTGCCTGTATCTTGTGTTCGGGCTGATGGACTGCCTGCTCTTTCGGCCGATCTTGGCCCTTTTATG